TAGAACAACCCTGCCGAAGAAGCATCCTAGCCCTTGCGGCTGAACAGGGAGTTGGACCATGCGAATCTTTCTCACTAGTGATGACTAGTTCTCCTCCACTTGGGGTTTGAACTCTCACCAGCTGCCATTCACAATCAATCACGACCCCATTGGGCCCCAACCAGTCCATCCTGATGATCACCTTCAATCCCCTCAAGGGAATCGGTACCAAGTCGATAGGAAACCTCTCGCCGAACATGTTCAAAACACATATACGAAATACCCTCGCAGCGCAGTACGATCATCTGCGATCTCCACCTCCAAAGGGGAATCCAAAGTCCTTGGAGCGTCTCGAAACTTCTTGCTGAGCATAAGAGATACAAAGGATCGGGTAGCCCCCGAATCAAAAAGAACATGAGCCGAAAATCCGTTGACCAAAAAGGTCCCTATACAAGATCATAACAACATAAGCATAACCATAAAGCAATAAAAGATAGATATAAGCCACATACCAGTAACGAATTCGACACTGCTCCGACCTCATTAGTGGTCAACTAAAACGCTATACTCTTCATCACAGGAGCCTCCGCCTTGCTCTAGAAGCCATCCGTAATCCTCAAGGTGACTAGCGCAGGCGCCACCACAGCTCCACCAGACAATCTCGGACAATCGGCCGTTTTATGGCTGGTCTGGTTGTAGTGGAAACAAATCAAGCCCTTCTTGGGGCACTCCCTGCTCATGTGGCCCGATTGGCTACAACCGTAAGATACCGGGCCTGTTACCCAATAGGCCCAACTGTGCGGCTTGTAGCACTTGGCACAACGGCCCCGACCCTGCTGGCCTCTGCTGGAAGGATCGGAGGTCTTAGGCTTTTTAGCCTGACACACTGTCGTTTGAACCTGCTCCGACTTCAGCTTCGTCCAGAGCTCCAATTTGATTTCCTGCATACGGGCCTTGTCAATCGTGTCATTCATGGCCTTGCACCCTGAAAAGCTCACAAACTCCCGGATATCATCCCTCAGCATAACATAGTATCTCGTCTTCCTCATCTCCTCATTTGTAGCGTACTGCGGAACCAATAATGCCCTTTCCCTGAACTTGGCGGTAATCTCCGCCACAGACTCCGTAGTCTGGTGAAGGTCCTGGAATTCCCTCACAAGCTGCTGCACCTCAATGGCCGATGCAAAATCCTGATCAAACCTCCGCACAAAATCCTCCCACGTCATCATAGTTACACCTACCGTCCCAACCCCATGGGTAACCTCCTCCCACTAGTCTCGCGCTCGATCCCTCAGCATACAGGACGCGAATCCCACCTTTGCCGCCTCGAGGAAACAACTCGTGCAATGACCATTCTGCATGTCAGCAATCCAGCGGCGACTAGCGATGGGGTCCTTAAACCTAAAGAACTCAGGCACTCCACACGCCTTGAACTCCCGGAATGAGGGAATTTGAGTCCCAATCTGACCCGCAATGATCTCGGCTCGGAAAGACCTGAGCCGCTCCTCCATAATCTCCATGATCCCCTCCTTGACAGTACTGAAAATAACCAGGGCAACGTCAAGGATGCCACGAGTAACTTCTCCTGTGATAAGCTCGCTCAGCCTCTCATCAATCAGATCTGCACCAGAACCTGAACCTGATCCTGAACCCGATCCCGAACCTGAACCTCCTCGCATAGCCATCACCATCCTCAAACTGAAAATACAACATATAAAGCAATCGGTAAGGAAGTTTGAAGGGATTCCTCCTCACCAGACTCCTTAGAGTTTTCAAGGTCTGCCCTTGTCTCGGGTACAGGTCTTGTGCTTCCGGTAGTACGGGCCCAATACTACCTTCCACACCTACCTGTACCTTCCCCAAGGTCATACCTGATACCTCTAATTCACCCAACCATACTCAAAACATGACCTAAAAAACACAACACATACGCATATCCTAGACTCTTCTAGGATTTCTCAATCCTCACAGAACCAGAAACCTCAATCAACACCGCATGTTGCTTTAAGCATGCAAGTTATACATAAATAGAATCACATAGACTATCAAATAAAGTTTCTACCCTAAATCCACAATCAAACAAGGAACAGGAAATGAGGCAGAATCCATCATTCTAGGACTATACAATCCTAAACATATACAACTTTGAAAGCATACACTTAGCAAATAACAGAGCCAACATCAATTCCAAGAAATATAGTATCGAATTCTCCTAAGCTACAAGGCATCACCCAAATCAGGCAATTTTATCACATAACTCCGGAAGGTAAGCTTAGCCCTACTCTAGCATGCATTTCACATATTAACACACTAGTTGCAATTCATAAGCATGGTTTAATTTTGGGAAACACTTACTTAGATCGGCTTATCGCACGCATTGAAATCTCCCTTTTTACTTAAGAAAACCATTTTCAGAAAAACTTGACTTTTGTTCTTTTGAAAAGGGTTACCATTTCCTCAGTTTGAGTTCTGACACACCCGAGGGTGTGAACGAATCCCTCAAACCAAGGCTCTGATACAACTTGTAACAGCTCGAAAACCAGATAAAAATTTTCATTTTTAAAATAGGAATTAGAATCATAATTTGTTCCCAAGAATCCATTACATCATATCATGTCAAAATATTAGATTATCAATATCAATAAATGCGGAAAATATTGGAGAGTGAATGATGTGCCATCAAGCGGGCCCTTCCCTTTAGTATCGGAAGTACCTGAAAACACCCAAATAAATTGTAAGCAAAAGCTTAGTGAGTTCCCAAATAACAAATAACATAAAACCACAGAATACCGTGCGACATACATATAGTTGCCATGGGCTACCCCCATGGTCTCTACCTGCAATGCCATGTGCTCCCCCATGGTCTGATATCCAAGTGCCATGGGCTACACCCATGGTCTTTACCTGGAACGTCATGGGCTACCCGCATGGTATGATATCTAAGTGTCATGGGCTACCCCCATGGTCTTCATACGAGTGTCCCGGGCTACCCCCATGGCCTTTAGACAATTAATACATAAACAACTATCAATTCACATGTCAAGTAGTGGGTAGGCATTGGTGCCTTCGACCCATTGATATTGCGAGAAGACTTACCTCAGACTACTAGTAAATAATACTGCTTGGCTACCCATCCAGAAATCTCACACTAAATAAATATAAATTACCCTAATTAGAATTATGACACAAACCCAACATGGGCCCAAAATCTCTATGTCCAAACCCCTCAAGCAAGGCCCAAAGCCTTTATCTTTAATGGGATCAAAATTTTAGTCCAAAAACATAATGGGCCATAAGGCCCAAAAATGCCACCTATGGTCCAATATAGAAAACTGGGCTCCCCAATCCTAATGGGCCAAGGCCCAACACTAGATAAGGTCGATGAGTCCTAAAGCCTAAAACACGCCCCATCAGCCCAGAGGACGTACGCTTAGCCCAAAACATCAGTACGCTTAGTGTACTTAGACTTAGGGTAATACATGCATCGTACAACCCAGTACGCCCAGCGTACAAGGCTGTAAAGCATAATAAGCCATTAAGAGCTTAATCCATGCAGCCACTTCGTCAAATTCCAGATCTTGGTAATTATAAAAGTCCTAGGGCATAAAGTTGGCAACTTTACGCCTTTGCATGCTTCATGGGAGCCCAACATCCCATTTAGTTCATTAAGACTCACTTTAAGAACTTAAACTCATGTATGGTGCCATATCAACCATCAAGATAACATTTTTATGCTTCTAACATGCCAATGGGACTTAGATCTAACACTCCCAACCTCTGGAGTGGCTCAAACTCACAAAGGAGGATCCATGGACCAAAAATGAACTCATTACTAAACCGTAACCCAAACTAGAAAAAGGATTAGTAAGGTATAAGCTTTTTACCTCCAAAAGCATCTCAAGGTGATGTAGATGCAACATCTAGAAGCTCAACCACAATCAAGACTTGTTCACCACATTCTTCTCCTTGAAATACACACCAAAAGGGTTATTTTTGATACTTCAAGCTCAAGGTTAACTTGTAATGGCAACTTAGGGTTTTCAGGGACGTTTGGAGGCAGTGGGGGCTGATAAGAGTGAGGTCCAAAAGCCAAAAGAGAGGTTAAATAGGGCACAAGCCTTAAGATTAGGGTTTTGTCACAGGCCATGTACGCCCCGCGTACGCCGTAGTATGCCCAGTGTACGTGGTATAGGACCGCGTCCAAACCACCCAAGTACGCTAAGCGTATGCATATGTACGCCCAACATACGGAGGGAGTCCTTTGCAAAATAAATCTCATTCCAAAGGTTAAAAGGTAACATACCTGAATTTCGTATGTTACATACGCCATAAGATCCGTCAAAAATTATGATCTACAAAATGCCTTTCACGGATTTGACAAAAAAATGTCAAAAAGTTTACGACTTACAAACGGTTAGTTGTACTTACATGTAATAATTGTCTGCCATAAATGTATGTCGTAAATTTATGACAAATGTATGTTATCTTTTATTTAAGAAGTAGATGCATACATAATAGTTTTTTTTTCGTACACAGCAGTTTTTTTTTCATACACAACAATATGTGCGGTAAAATATTATATTTTAGAACTCTATTAAACATAAATTGTTATATATGAAAAAAGTTATATGTAGGACTCACTACCCTTTTATTTATGATTGGGAGTTCAATGATATACATTTTCTATCGTCAATACCCTTTAATGATTGAAAATGTAAGACATTAAAGTGTTTTTCTTCTTTTAGAAGTGAGTTTATTCAACCATTGACCAGTAGACTAAGAAGTAGAGATTTTGTTGTTAGTAAAATTATTATTATATATATATTAAAGTTATGAAAGATTTTAGTGGCATTTTTTTTTTTCTCTCAATTTTAGTGGCTATCTTTTTTTTTTTTTTTTCAATTTTGGTCTCCAACTTACAACATTGACCCTTCATCTTTATGCTTTTGTTCACAAACTGCTTTCCCTCCGGATTGCTGCAATATAGGGTGATCGGAAATTAGTGATGCCGGCTTCGAATAAAAAAATAGACGAAACCGGTGTGGAGCACCGATTTGGTAAGCTGAAGGCACACATATACCCCTTCAGTATCTCAATCCCCCACCGACATTATTCCATTTCCACTTGCTGTTCCCACCGATTTTTTTCTCTTTCTATTTGTTCCGATCCCGGTTCAAACCTGTGATGTTGACACAGGTGGAGAAGAACCAGGTACCCGCTCTACTTCCGTCCTGATTGTTGGGTGCGACTACTCTACTCGATTAACTTCTTTCCCTTCCAATTATTGCTCTATTTTTTCAAGCCATCGATCGATTGAATCGTTGAATCGAAGTTCTTCCTCATTTGTTTGTGTCTTTAACTATATGTGTGTAATCTCCATCGGAAGTACAAGCATTACCCACCTACGTGTTCAATTCCAATTAGCTTCAGCTGTAACGATTAAGGTATCATCCCCGTTTTTTTCACCTTTCTCTGCCTTTCCATGAGGATATGTTTGTAAACATTGGTAGTTCTCATTTGAATCTCACAAATTTTAGGATTGGAGTTTGTTCATGGAGGGATACCAGGTATTGGAACAATTTGGAATGGTATGGTAACTTTGATTACATGTTCAAACATTTGCCCACCAGGTGTTTGATAAAAGTTTTGTATTCAGGGGCCTTATCGTCTCACAAAACTTTCTTATAGGTTTATAAAAAATCGATCTAAGATATGATACCAAAACAAGATGTAACAATGATGGCTTATGGACTTCAGACATTAACGATTAGGCGGCGGAGAGCAGTCCGCCGCTGCCGTTCATCCTTTTTCATCGGACAGTTCCACCTCCCTCTGTATGTCATCTATGTGTTCCATTGGTCATCGACATCTCTTAAGAAGACGTTGGTTGAAGAGAGCAGAAGTTATGATATTTAAACTTGATCATGTTCAAATATCATACCTATGGTATTTAATTCTTTTTGATTTTTGTATTGCCTTTTGTTTATATGGGAATGATAAACATCAAGTAATGTGTTTTTCATGTAATTGATAAACTATGGGTCTGAAGCAATGTGTGAACCTGAAGTGGTTATCAGTTAAGCAGAACAAGCTTCAAAGCTTAAAAGGTATTGAAGAGTGTGTTTGTCTTACGGTGAGTTGCATTTGTTTCAATTTTCTGTCATGAAGATTATGATTCACAAAGAAAAAAAAGTGCTCCATTGACATGCTACTGTGGTGGATTTCACCATTCCCTGAGACTTGAGAGGGTGGATAAATTATTTTATCAAGCTGTTTAGGTTCTAAATTTCTAACCCTTTAAGTCTATTAGTGATAATTTTTTATTTTCTTTTTCAGAGGCACATAATTATTTTCTGGAATATATATCCAAGGCTTATCAAGCTCTAACAGATCCAATATCACGTGAGAATTTTGAAAAATATGGTCATCATGATCGCAGACAGGTACCATTTGTTCTTAAAAGACCAAATTACCCTTGTAACTTATAAGTGAAAAGCTAAAAGTTATTAAATTTTTACGGTTCCTTGAGATCATCTTATCCATTTCTTCGAAAACGTTGATTACACAAATCAAAGTCCATTAATTTCTTGAATTGATTTGAGTAAATTTGTGAAAAAACAGGGGCTACAAATGGGAATTGCTCTCCCTAAGTTTCTATTGAATATTGATGGGACATCAGGGGCAGTGAATTTACTTGGAATTGTTGGGATTTGCATTATTATGCCTTTGGTGATGGCTGTTATGTACTTATCAAGATCATCCAAATATAATGGAAAGTACTATGTCTTGAAGCATACTTAATCTGCATATTTATATCTTATGAAACCCTCTTTGGCTCCAAGGTATATATTATGATCTCCAAATTTAATGTGGTTTTGCTATTATACCGATTTTAGCTCTAAAACTATTATTTTTAATTGATTTAGCCACTACACTATTCTTATAATAATTATAAAGAAATAACTATTCAATGGCTAAATCTGTAATATGTTAAAAGCACTTCTTCTGCTTTTATGTTTAGGGTTACCATTACTTATGGCCAACAAACAAATTTCAGTTCATACAAAATTTTAAACACGTTATTACCCAAGTTTTCATTTTTACAGTTTTGGCCCAAGTTTTTTTTTTTTTTACAAATTTGGACCCACCTTTTTTTTTTTACAAATTTATAATGAACACTTTTTTGTAGAAAATAATTTTTTTTTGTAGGTTAGAGGTAAAAAAGAAACCCAACTAAATATGCTTGACACAAAAAAAAAAGCAAGGATTTTCATTATTTTCCTAAATGACATTATTATCTTTTATTTTATTTTTTTACACAGAAAAATGAAGCATCTACATCAGGAACAAGAACACCATCATTGAACAAAAGGTATTATTCTGTATGTTCGTGTTTCTTGATTCTTTGATTATATTGTGGTCGGAAGTTTGTTCTAAATTTACAAAGTTTGATCATGAAGATGGGTTTGGGGGAGAGGAGAGAAGATGTTTCTTGGAACTCATGTACAAGGTATTACCAAACGAAATTACTACCTTCTTATATGGTATTAGCAAATTACACATATACTTAATCATTATGGACCCTAGATAACAACCAAAGTCTACATTACAAGGAAAAATTCCTGAGGTTTATGGGCAACAGGTATCAAGCAAGAGAACAGTTGCTCTGAATGTAATCAAGGAAGCTCAAAATCTTAGAGGTGTGTTCCAATGTTTTTAGTACATCAGGTTTTTGAGGTTTCATTTGGTTTTGTGATTAACGATCTTCTATGTTTCCGCCTTGTATTTATAGGTACTTTTAGAGTAATCTTGGAGATTTGGCTTGGAGTTGATATGATTAAAAAATCAATTAACATTTTGGGATTATCTCTAAATAATGTCTCACTCGGTTAAATAGTAAACATTTCACTTGAAAATTTGATATTTCATTCTAACACGATTAAACACATTTGAGTTGGCCTTAATTTGGATGCAGGAGCTTCAAAAGTTGGCACAAAAATGTCATATTATGAGTTTTCTTGAAAGGAGAGAACATAGACATTAGGAAGCCTTCTGATTTTTACTGATTGTTTCATGAAATTACATAATCCATCAACACTGATGGTCTGTTGTCATACTTTTTCTTTGGGTACTTTATAACAAATTGCAAACATTGATCCCGGAAAAACGACATTGAAGGCTTCCGACCCCCGCAAAGCGGGGGACCAATTTCTAGTTTATAATTATTTGTATAGGCCTAGAACCCATGTATTTAGCCCATCTCGAAACTATCCGTGCATATTAATACTCCATGTTTTTTCTTTTTGATTTGTCCCAAAATAATAGTCTACTTCTAAAAATAAATATATTTTTTACCAAAATAGCCCTCATTATTAGTTAAACTACCATTAGAGTACCCGGTATGGGCCTCAACCAGACGAGGCTGAGGTGGCAAGGCGCAACGCCGTCTTAACGGGGGGAACACCCCCCCCCCCCCCCCCCCCCCATCCTTGATTTGGATCAAATGAACTATGATGCATGGCGTGAGTTATTTGAAACTCACTGTAATGGTTTTGGCTTCTCTGACCATCTAGAAGAAACTTTATGACAAAGCTCATGCCTACTTAAACAATGTTGAATGCATTAGAATTGACTCAAGTGTGAAGATGTGGATATACATGACATGATTCAATCAAGGTTATGCGCAAAATTTTCATTTCATCGTTTTTAAATAATAATGCTAACTTCTAGTTTCTCTTATCAACTAAAACAAAAGCCTTAACATTTGAAAAGAGCACAAAAAAAAAAACGTAACAAACCAGCATTAAATTTACAGACCACAACCTTAAAAATAATTGCCAACACATAACCCGAAAAAGATTCAAGATTTGGAAAGAAATAATTATTATAAATCAGCAAACCCCTAACTTATCTTGTAAGTTACTTGTTACATGATGCAATATTTAATTAGTTAATTAGAACCTTAATTAAGTATACTATTGAAGAGGGATCGAAGGATCATGTCCTCCATGCATAGACAGCATAGTCCTTTGCAAATTACAAAGCCTAACTTTTAGGCTGGGCTGATCTCTCTTACACACATGCTCGTCTTTTTCTCGATCAAGAAACACAATTCTTTGTTTCCTATCTGCTCTTAATACTACATTGATCAGTAGACAAAAAGAATTATATTTCCATATTAAATGCTCTTAATACTACATTGATCAATTCTTTTTCTCATATTAAGGCTCACAAATCACAAATTCGAGTTAAGAGGTTTTGTGTTTAATAAAACTTGATTTATATATTTAAAAAGTTCATTTTAAGTATTTTTCCCAATTGAAGTAGGTCTAATTTAGTACTTTATACCGCTGAAGATGTTTTTGAAGATTTTGAACAATTTAATAAAGGGTTAATATCATAAAATGACAACTATTCATATTTTGTTTACTCTTTTAGTCGTTTATTTAATTATATTTAGGACAATATATGTTTTTTTGTACACATTAAAACATTAGTGTACTTCAATCTAGTATCTCTATCATATATGTCGAAGTTGATGTGATGTAGGTGTTATATAGATTGAAATAAACAAAGTTTGTTATGTTGAATAACATGTTAGTTATGTGGTTTTTTACTATCAATTAATACTATACTATAAAAGAGATTTTTTCTTTTACCGCATGCATTTAAACTCTCACGATGTTTCAATCTTTTTCTATTAATAATTATAAATTGGTTAATATTGTAAAATAAATGCAAAACCTAAATTGTAATTCTAAATTAACACAATTTCAATATTAAAATACCATCTTTTATTTCTAATTATAAAATTATGTCTTTAACTTTTAACAAATTATATTTAACTTACTAGTTAAATATGTTTTTATATGTAAAACATTGTCATTTTAAGTCAAACTTTTAAATATATTATATAAAATACTTAAATTGTTAATTTAGATATAACGTTAAATGCTTATTACATCAAAGTTAAGAATAATGTCACTGTTGTATTATATATATATATATATATATATATATATATATATATATATATATATATATATATATTTGTAATTATTTCAATTATTCAGTTGTATTATGCGCAACACGGAGTATTCACCTAGTTATACAATATATTAGGCAATATTTCAAAAACCGGTTTTATGCCTAATTTTGAACCAAAATGAACCGGCCGATTTTTACAAAAACCAGGTTCAACCGGTTGAATTGAATAAAAACACTAGAAAATAACCATTTTGCATAATAAACTTTGGTAGTCTTTTTCACATCTATTTAAATTTCTCTAAATAAAAATATATGGTAATGTAATGAAGTTTTTTTTATGTGTTTGTATTTATCTAAAACTATATATTTTTTTCGGTATTATATTTTATTTTCTTTTTGATGCGTGCAGATTGATGTAAACTTATGGTTCTGTTATTTTAATGTATTTGGATTGATCTACAACTTGTTTTATATGTATTTTTAATGTTTCAACTTACGAACATCAAATTCTTGATTTATTGATGTGTATATATGTAAGAAAATTGAAGAAAAGATGAAGATTATAGAAACTAGTTGGCCCGACGGTTGAACCGATATCCAATTACCGTATCAATTCAACTGAAAAATCGTGTGTTGCACTAAGTTAATATAATTTGATGCAAATATATCTATAAATCAAATATGAACCTACAAAATTTGCATTTAATTTAAATACAAACAATCATCATATAATACCTATTATGTATCAATAATAAAGTCACAAAACTTTATCAAAATATCATAATCATATTTTTATGTCAATTATGTAAATCGGTTTCAATATATTTTAATGTTTGCAAAAGTAGAATAACCAACATCAAACACATATCTAATAATATATATATATATATATATATATATATATATATATATATATATATATATATAACAATCAACAATTTAAATAAAAGTACACACTATCAATGCATGTAATGTATATTTGTACAAATATTAAACTTATTAATAAGGTTATAATGTAAAGAAATAACCAATTAGTTGGAAGCTGAAATTTCCCAAAATAAAGCTCCATATTTTCATTTTTTTTTTCTCTGTACCATTCTTCACATCCTATAAAATTAGTAAATAAGCTTATAATGTAAAGAAATAAACAATTAGTTGGAAGTTGAAAATTCTCGATGTAGACTTTATCATCTCAAAAAAAAAAACTATAATATTCTTCACATCCTAGAAAACTCATCTACCTCCATGGAAACACATCAATGTTTTTTATCAGCAAAAATTACTTATATACTACGTATATACGTTACAAAGTGTGTAAATGAGAGAAAAATAAAATTTATTAGTCGTTACAAATTAATAATCATAAATTAAAAACTCTTGAGTTATAAGTACTGAATACACATAAATTAGAAAACTTTTGAATTGTAGCGGTGTAACACCCAGTCGTCAGGTATTTTTCCTTTTGACCCTATGTATATAATTTGTTGCAAAGTCGGTCCCTACGTTAAGCGTACATGGGGCATACGCTTGGCGTAGTTCTTTTAAGTGGAACGCATATTATGTGAGTACGTTGGGTGTACCCATGCATACGTGGCTAAGGAGCAAACCCTAATTTTTAGGGTTTGAGCCTTATTTAAACATCCTTATCCCCTCAAAACCCTCTCCTTCATTAGCCTCCATCTCCCAAGTCATCCTTTGCTAACCCTAATCCATTGTGTGATCCTTTTTAAGCTTGAGAGTGTATCTTTGTGTCCTTGAAGGAAAAATAATGTGGTGGGGTCATCGTGGAAGCTTCAAGCAATTGTAGATCCGGAGCTTTCACCTTGAAAGCAACCTCCATAAGGTATAAAGCTTTGAACTTGATGAGTTATTTGCTTAGATCTTGGTAGTCTACAGTTTGTGTACATTCTTGGTCTCATAGTTTTGTTCTACTGGAGTATGAGCTACTCCAGGTCCTTGAATTGTAATTTTCTGTAGTTTTAAGTTCATGGATTCATAAAAATGAGAGCTTGGACACTCTTATTAAGCCATGCTAGAGTTTTGGAGCCTTTCATGACTTTTAGAACAAGAGTTTGAGTTTATACCCTCTTGTGTGCATGCAAATGGATAAAGTCAGAGACTTTATCCATTGAGACGTCCCTCTTTACCTAGATCTAAAGTTTGGTGCTTTGGCTTACTGCAATAAAGATTTAATGTTGAGTTATGGATTCAACATTGGTACGCTGGGCGTACCTGGAGGTGCGTTGCGCGTACCATGTTTGGAGCCCGTAGTCTAGAAGGCACCCTCTACGTAGGGCGTAGAGTGGAGTACATTAGGTGTACCCAACCTATGTGGGACCTTTGACTTTTTTACCATAACTTTGACCAGGAATTTGACCAAGTCTGACTTAATGGTATTTTGGGTATTTTGAGCAGTAGTATGAGATTAGGTCACTGTTTGTTGTAGAGGTGACCTGTAGAGTCAGCAGTTGGAGCTGTGATCTGTTAAACTATGTAACACTGTAAATTTTCAAATAAAATTTTCATTTTTAAAATCACATAAACTTAACATCACATTTCCCAAAAACCACAAAATGCATAAGTTGTCAAAACACAAGTCAACAAATGTTTGATAAAATCCCAGAATCCTCAAAATCATGATCTCTAACTGGTGTGTACAATCAAGCCGGCGCCTTCCCGCGATCCTGAGAAGTACCAGAAGCACTTATCACACTACACGGTAAGCACGAAGCTTAGTGAGTTCCTCAAAATACCACATACACAAATAATAAGCCTCTCATGGCTATAACTCGACATGGACCCTCCGGTCATGCGTCTTGGTGAGGACCCTCCGGTCTCACGGCTCGGTATGGACCCTCCGGTCATGTGTCTTAGTGAAGACCCTCCGGTCTCACAGCTGGGGTCGGACCCTCCAGTCCTGTATCTCAGTGAAGACCCTCCGGTCTCACAACTCGGTTTGGACCCTCCAGTCCATACTCAGTAAGGCATAGAATAATATAGCATATATCATAAAGACAAACTGCATAATATCACATAACTCAATATAAGCACATAGGACCTTCTGGTTAATAACTCAAATAAGACCCTCCGGTCGCACAATATTACCACTCAGGTAAGTGTAGTGAGAAGACTCACCTCGTAAGCAAAGCAAATATGTCTCGCACTCAACGATCGGTCTAGACTCCGCCTACATATCACAATCATCTCTAATTAACACTTTATAATAATCACACTAAAGATGTTAGTATCATCCCTTTACTAACTCCGGAAAGGGTGAAAGACCATTTTACCCCTCCATGGTCTCCATATCCATCACTTGACCAAACCCTAAAAGTCAATGGAA